GCCAGAAAAATACCCGTTGCTGCCATCCTTTGAAATTTGCATCAGAGGATTTTTCCGGTTTCTCTGCTGGTGGTACAACAGTTTGGGTTGGTGCAGCAACAACCACTGTAACATTGTTGTTTTCCATTTCTGATAAACAAATATCGATACAGACTTAGTAAGCAATAACCTTAAATTGCAAACATAATAGGAGTATAAAACCACAAAGGTTTTTGTCTCTAACAGAAACACAGATTAACAAATAAGATAATTTCCTTAAGATTGTTAGCAATTTGTGTTAAAAATCAATATTACTGATTCAACAAACTTTTCAGAAACACGAAGTTACCAAAGTTTATCCGAACCAGTGAAGAAACAGATGAACAGAAATTAATTCAAAAGAAAACTAAAATTTGTAAAACATACCAGAATCTGGGAAAAACAGAACGAAAAAGATCAAGCCCACTGAATGCACATTGTCCCCTTAAGGAAATTATTCCCCCTCTAGTATCCGAGGTTTGATTTGGAATATGTCCTCCCAGAATAGAATAATCTCAATCACCAGTGTATTGATACCCAAAACGCTGGTGTCAGCGAACCACTCAATAAAAGTAAAGTACACGAAGAAATTTGTGCATAAGAAGAAGAAGAAATCAGAAATTTTCATAAGTAAAAAATCTAAAGAATAACATGTCTTTATAGGCAAGAAGAACTGGTTCCGAAAGGTTGCAATATTTCATAATCCACACGACCATTTCAGAAAGTTTGCAACCTTTCAAACGGTCATGGCTGTTCCTGAAAGTTGCAACCTTTCAGAACAGTCATTTCTAACAGTGGGGAATTTAAATAAAATGAAAAAGTAATTTAAATAAAACGGGTCACGCGGATCCAAGTCGGGTCGGAACATTTCGATTAATTAACTAATTAATCGATCATTTTTCCAAAGCCGAAGCCGAGCTACGGCGACGGCGACGACGACGACGGCGCGAGGGGGATCCCTCTTTCCAACCCTTTTAACAATTAATAGAAGTGCTTCTCTATTTAGTCTCTTCTATTTTTCTTTCCACCACCGATGAGGGACAAATCCCTTTTTACTAAAGCATAAGAGGACTTTTCAAGTTCCCAACTATTTAAGTTCCCAACTTTTCAAGTTCTTCTATTTTCATCTTCCCTCCATTTCCCATTAACTCTTGCTATATACCCAACATTTATTACCCTAAGCCGATTGCTCATCATTTTCATCCACAACCATATCATCACTTTCATATTTACTGAATATTTCATCACTGCTTTGGTGTTCGCGTAAAAAATTATGTAATACAACACAAACAAACACTATAGAGGGTGTTTTTGTGAAAGATAAAAGTTTGGTGTAGAATTTGAATTTGTAAAAGTTTTCAAATAATGAGATTTGACCCAAATACTAGTTTTTTTTCTAGTATTTGGGAATTTGGGTTATTTGCCAAAAATATTTGCCAATAATGGCAAATTATATGGACAAACACTATTTGCCAAATTTCCCCTCAAATTTTAGTTTGTAAAATACACTCTCTTTTATATGCAATAACCTTGCCACATGACATTTCATATAGATAAAATATCCACCTTGACAAAAATTAAATAAACTATTAATATAATTAACAATTATATTTCAAGGTATTACTATCTACAAAAAATTTAAAAAATAATTTTAAAAAATTTCTCACCCCACTCCCCCCGGTCCCCAACTATCCCCCGTTAAAAAAAATATTCTACCCTACCCTTATATCTTTTACATTTTTCTCGTTCTGTGTTAAATGTATACATATATTTTTAGGAAAATATTATTTTCTACTTGTGTATCGAATATAACAAAAATAAAATTTTATTTTAAAAAAAGTCTTGCGGCAAGTAAAATGTACTTTTCTAAAATAAAATTATATATATATATATATATAACACAAATAAAAAAATTAAAATAACATCTAAATTATTATTGAAGGGATTTGGGAGGGGGGGGGGGGGGGAAGGGGGGGGGGGGGGAGGAAGTGGTGGAGTGGTGTAAGAAAAATATTTTACATTTTATTTTATAGGTATTATTTTTAGAATAGTAGAGTAATACTTTAATCTTTAACTTTAGCTGATACTACTAATTTATTTAATTTTTGTCAAGGTGGAATGTTTTTTCCATGTGGAGTGTGATGCGACAATTTTTTTTATAGAAAAGAGAGAGTCTATTACACACACCATTACACACACCATGTGAAAGTGGAATAAATGAGGGAGGTGTGTTTCTCAAACTAATACGTGATAATATAGGTATGAAACTCATATTCTCAATAGTTTAGGTATGAAACTCAAAATGGGATGGTAGGTGTGTTTTTTATTCTTATTTCTTTTTACTATAAAAGATGATGTCTTTTTTATTAGAGGAAGAGCTAGTAGTCCGCATGTGAGTACAGTCAAATTCATTAGATTTTATTTAAATAATGAATTTGTATTAGTAAATTTATTAAATATGTACAAATATTAAATTTAAAATTCATTTATTATCACTTAAAATTATTATTATAAAAATCAAAACTCATAAAATTCTAATTTCGCCTCTGCTTTTTTTACAATCAATTTTCTTTTGTGGGCTGTATCCTTTAGCAACGAGCTTTTCTTTTAATCTTCCTATTTCTTCGTAAGCTTTATACTTATTTTATTTGGTTGACTATTCTTCAAGAATACAACTTTAAATGGTATAAAATGCTTTCACCCTGTATTCAAAGTGTGGGTTATATAGCGACAGTTGTGTTTTTTTTTTTTTTTTTTTTGGTTTCTCATCTGGTGTCCGGAGCCCACATTGGAGCTCCGATTATATCGTTATCACGCTCTGCAGGGCCCATTCATGGGTGGCGCTCCCAACCGGATTTTTTCCATACCCAGGGCTCGAACTTGAGACTTCTGGTTAAGGGTGAAACACTCCCACCAGTGCACCACAGTTGAGTTGAGGTAGAATAAGAACACTAAGAATAAAGGGAATTTTTCATAAATATATGATTCAATATAAAATATTACGTCACATAATATAATATATCAATTTTGTATAAAAACATTTAAAAAGTGTTTACCCATAAATATAAACTAAATCGAATAACAAACTCAATTAAATATAGGCTAAAACATGTAAATATTTTCCTAGAAGACAGAGAACATAATCGTTCCATTAAAAAGGATTATATTAGTTGCAATAGTTTAACATTACATTAATTGTCTGGAACATGGGTTGCAATAGTTTGACCTAACGTGCACATTAATGTATATTGGTAACCAAAATAATATTATCCACTTGAATTGTGGTGTAGGGATGAAATTACTCCACATTTCATTAGAAGTTTTGATTTAAGTCGTATGCATAATTCAGATTTAATTTAGACGAAGCTTCAATACAGACACCAAACACCAGGTGTACAAATAAAACACCAAGATTATACATTAGCATTTAGCCGCCTGCAACGTGCATAGTGGAGATTAATGTAATGCATATATTTTTAAAATACTCTGAATACATTAATCTTTTCTATCTTTTGACATTTTCAACAACCAACATCTACTATAATATATATTCTCATGTCCTTGTATATGCAATTCATTCATTATCAACAAAAGTAGAAATTAAGAGATGGAAAAAACATGCCTAGTTCTATTGCTTTGCTTTATTCTTATGCCAATAACTCAAGGGGTTGAATTTGGGCCCAAAGCTGTTGAAAAATGGTTCAAGAAGCTTCCTCATGCAAAGCAAAAGGTAACTAAATTTCATTTCTATTTTCATGACATAGTTAGTGGGAAAAATCCAAGTGCAGTTCCAATAATCCAGTCCACATCCCCAATTTTTTTTGGGTATGTTGCAATGATAGACGATCCATTAACAGTTGGACTTGAGCCCGACTCGACTATAGTGGGTCGAGCCCAAGGGATTTATGGTGGAGCAGATCAAAATGAAGTTGCCCTTCTCATGACTCTCAACTTCGTGTTCACAACTGGAAAGTATAATGGTAGCACGTTGAGTGTACTTGGCAGGAACCCGGCACGTCATAAGTATCGTGAGATGCCTATCGTTGGTGGTTCAGGAATTTTTCGATTGGCTAAGGGAATCGCCACCGCGAAAACCTCTTGGCTGAATTCTACCGGTGCTGTTGTTGAGTACAATGTTATAGTCCTGCATTATGACATTTGATGTGTTTTGCTTCTTTTTTTTTAATTATTATTTGTAATTTCATGTTCATTATAGTTGAATGTATACTTCTATAGTTTATGTATTTTGTTGTCACAATAAAGATGTGTGTTGATCAATGAAATGACACCTTTGATCGAGAATTCGGACATAAATTCTTTAAGCTTTTTGAAATAAAATTTACTTATTTGAAAATTATAGAAAAATACTATTAAAAAATATTTGGTGAGTTGATTTTTTAAAAAAGTTTTAACTAATATTTTTATTTGGGCTAAAATTTTAGTTCAAATTCTTAAACATTTTAAAATATTTATACTATTTAACATAGGATACATGTCCAAAGCACGAGATTGAATAGGTCTAACAAAATAAAACAATTGCTAAGTCTATGTATTGATTTCATCATGTGGTTTTTCTTTTTCTTGTAAAATGTAAAAAATAGAGTATATATTTTTGGTGGATGTGTCGGTGCATGCCTTTGTTGCTGTAATTGATAGGCATATGCTTTACGTTTCCTTTTTTATTCCACTTTCGATTTTAAATGATTCCTTCAAAGGTAATCAACTAACAACTTCTATATATATCCGCAATTAATCATTATTTCTCAAAATGGAAAAAACAATCCTACTTCTATTGCTTTGCTTTATTCTTATGCCAATGGCTTAAGGTTTTGTATTAGGACCCAAAGCTGTTGAAAAATGGTTCGATAAGCTTCCTCATGCAAAGCAAAAGGTAACTAAATTTCATTTCTATTTTCATGACATAGTTAGTGGGAAAAATCCAAGTGCAGTTCCAATAATCCAGTCCACATCCCCAATTTTTTTTGGGTATGTTGCAATGATAGACGATCCATTAACAGTTGGACTTGAGCCCGACTCGACTATAGTGGGTCGAGCCCAAGGGATTTATGGTGGAGCAGATCAAAATGAAGTTGCCCTTCTCATGACTCTCAGTTAGTGGGAAAAATCCAACTATAGCCCAAATAGCCCAGGCCAACATGACTGCGTGCCAAATCCCCAACTTTCTTTGGGTTTGTTGCAATGATAGACGACCCACTAACAGTTGGACCAGAGCCCAATTCAACAATAGTGGGCCGAGCCCAAGGGATTTATGGTTTAGCTGATCAAAATGAGGATGCCCTTCTCATGACTCTCAATTTTGTGTTCACAACTGGCAAATATAAAGGTAGCACATTGAGTATAATGTTATAGTCCTGCACTATCATGATATTTAATCTGGAGTTTTGTATTCTTCTTCAACAGAACTTCTTAAAGATGGTAGTCCATTTCTGGACACCCTTAACATAACAAGCTAAGCTGCTATTTCTGGACACCCTTAACATAACAAGCTGCTATATCTCGTCACCCTTTATGAAATTTCTGACTCCGCCACTACGTGCGTTTCTAGCTCTAGGATTTCCAAGACCAAAGATTATTCTCCTAGTTTGTTAAGAAACTAGTGTGCATGCTTACTCATATGTTCAAAATATACCTTCAATTTTGACTTACACGATCCTATGCAATAATAATAATAATTTAACTAGGTTGAGGCCGAATTCTATAGAAAATATGGGAGAACTTCTTAAGTATATGTATCGATATGACTACTCAACTTATAGTTTGGTTTCAAATCCGTAAAAGTTGTAGAGAAAGATTGTAACTATACTAATAAAATAGAAATTAAATCTGATCATAAAATATAACATTTTGTTTATAAAGAAGTATAAGGTAAGATACATTTAGTTACATATTTACGACTAATCAAACTAAAAGAAATATATTATAAATTATATATATCTAATTAAACTTTCATTTATTGTATCCATTGGTTCGGATGAATAAGTGATGATATGACTATCGACATCTAGAATTCACAGAAGAATGTACTATTATATTATTCTTTCGTGTAAAATAATTAGTTATCCAAAACTTTGCTTAAATAATATCAATGCTATTTTATGATAATATATACTTTCCAACTCCGCATATGCAGAGAAACTAATATATATAAAGTGAGTTATGTATGTGAAGATCATGAATTTCAAATAATTCAAATTATTAAAGATATACTAATTAAAAAGGAAAACCCATTACAAAAGATGATCAGAGAGAGTATGTTTTCTTTTTTGAATTATCGTTTTACTTTCTTGGAAGAAGTATTTCTTCACCTTGAAATATGATATTTTGGATGTTACAATATTGTAATGGAACTTCAGAGTTACGTTTATGCTATTGACTATTGAAATTTACTTTTAAACCGTAGGAGTGTATAATAAATCGTTATGATAATTTAAGCCTCTAACTGATTTTTTAAAACAGATTCAAAAGAAAATTTATGTCTTTTCCCTTTTATAAATCTTATATATATGTCTCAAATGCCCCATACAAATACTAACGAACCAAATGCCATAATCTTCTCATGTCAAACCTTGAGTAACTGTTTAAGCAATTGCAAGAAACCTCTTAAAGATTGAAAAGAAAAAGAATATATATATATATATATATTGACAATGTAAAGATCCCGTGACAACGGTTTTTGATTAATCAAATATATATGAATAAATTGAAAAATAGTTTCCTCCATTCCGAACATATTTCAAGTCTCAATTTTGTGGGACACTTTCTTTATAATCGGTTAAAGAAAAAACTTATTTTATACTATAAATTTCAAAAAGTTAATTTATTTTTATTCTTAGAATCTCTTTGTCCAGTCAAATAACAACGATTTATCCTTTTCACACGTGGAGTCTAAAGAATATAGAGATATGCATATGCATATTATATCCCTATTTTTGCGAGAAAGAAAGATTATTTCCGATAGATCCTCAACTTAAAAGAATAATTATTCATAGAAGGGTTATAAGAAGAAAAACAAATAACAACAAAATATCATGATACTAAATAAAAATGAAGCAACAAAAAAAAAGACATACCAAAGAATAAGAAATCATGCAATCACTTTGATGTTGAGATAAACACCTTCATATAAATTAAAACAATACTCTCTATTAATTTACTAAATTACTAATCAATATTTATCATAGTAATAAATTTAACTGTGATTATATAATAATAATAATATGTAATCTGATTATATAAATATTTTTTATACTATAAAAGCATAGAAGTTAAAACTCAAAATGAAATTATATGACCAACTAATCCCCTAGAACTTGGTCAATGGAGTTCTAGATCCATCGTAAAGCTCATGAGGTATAGGTGTCCCACTTTTTGTTATTGATGAAGTCAAAGTTGTTCTACTGCTCACCCACGCCATGCTATGCAATTATAAAGGATTTTTCCACAAGCATATTAAATAAAAAAAAGTACTGTAACTTTTTCTAGCAGAAGTCAATTGATAATATTAACCCTACCAGAAAGTAGGAATACTTTTTTATTCCGGAATAAATTTTCCCTTATTCAAAGGTATCGTGTTCGAGTCCCTTTTTTTTTCCGTTTATTTTCATATGAGAAAAATTGTAATCTATAATATTTTTATATAATTTTAGTTAAATAAAAATATAAGTAAAGAATATATGCAAATCTGAAAACATGCCCTTAGTGAGTAGTATAGTCAATGAGTTCTAGAACTTCATGAGGAACAGGTGTCCCTATTAGTTGTGTAAATAATTAACAAGTTTAATTAGTTCATCATGAATGTTGATATATTCCTTATAACTTTCAATTAATTTGTCTATTTTTAGGAACTTTTTAATTATAACTATCTACATGCAGACATGTTTATGTTATAAGATATTAAAATATTTTGATACATAATTTTACATATGTTTTAATTTAAGATCCTAAAATTTTAAAAAATCTTACATTTTGCGATAAATCAAAACTAGATAATTAAATTGAAATGAAGGAATATACAGTGAGTTGTTGCAGCTGTACTAGATTATTATAGCAATATTGTCTGTAACAACCTAACGCACTACTGTATATGATACTTTATAATATGTAGACTTCTTGTCTTTCAATGTGAGACTCATTATAATATGTAGACTTCTTGTCTTTCAATGTGAGGCTCATTATAATACTTGGCCATAAGAAAGTGTGTATACTAAAATATGAACATTAAAACAATAGTGGAGGTCACAATTATGAGTTATGAGAGGACTTTTGCAAAAGTAGAATCACCTTTTCGAGTTCCATTTTTTACTTTTAAAACATTTGACGATTAGGTGCGCAAAAATTATCGTTGAAGGTTCCAACTTCTAAGAAGTTATATTTGATGAATAGTACTACTATTTCACAAACTAATAATTATTCAGTCTCAATTTATGTGACATCATTTGACTTGACAATAAGTTTAAGAAAGAAAAGAAATCGTTCAACTATATATATTTGTAATCTGAAATAAACTTTAGACATTTGTGTGATGGTAGATCATTTTATTAATGCTAAAAGGTGAATTTTAAAGTACTCAATTTTAAAGTTAAGTTATTTTGACATTAACTTGACAAAAAAAAAGTAGAAATTGTTGTGACAACTATATTTGTTTCTCGCATGATCATGAAACTTTTTTAACTCAACATTGCTATCAAATTACACGAACATTAGAATGGGAAAACGAAAAAAGAACGTACATATGAGAAAAAAAGAAATCAAAATAAAATTAGCAATTCGGCCGTCCCAACATATAATCTTTAACTCAATAATGCAAAACTACAACATTATACTCAACAAGAGCATCACCATTCTTACTAAAAGTATATGTTTTCGCAGTTGCAACACCACGAGCTAGCCTGAAAACACCAGAACCACCAACAATTGGCATCTCTCGATATTCATTCAAAATAGGGTTACGTCCAAGTAGACTAAGTGTACTACCATTATATTTCCCATGAGTAAACACAAAATTCAAACTCATCAACAAACTAAATTCCTCAAGAGAAGCTGCACCAACAATTCCTTGAGCTCGACCAATAGTCGTTGAATTAATTTCTGGTCCCGTTGTCAATCGATCGTCTAATATCGCTAGCGAGCCAAACGCCGTAGGCGAATGAGACGTAGAATTAGCCTGGGCAATTGGTATTGCCGTTGGGTTTTTACCACCAACTATATCGTGAAAATAGAAATGAAGTTTGGTTATTTTTGGTTTTGCATGTGACAGTTTTTGGAACCAATTTTCAACAGCTTTAGGACCTTGTGCAATATTGCAATGAGCTAATGGAATTGATGATAATATGACAATAGCAATAGAGCAATACAATAAAATTGAGTTTAGCTTTGCCATATTTTGGTTTTGTGTTTTTGATTTCTCCAAAATTTATGTATTGTAAGCAAATGTTTATAGAAAGAGGGAAGGATGACTTTAGAAGAAAAGAATAATGTGATGATTTAGGTGGGAATCGTTGGACGCTAATGTTGATTATTTTATTCGCAACCATACTTTCCTCGAAACAACGTAACTTCAACATCCTAATAAACAAATATTTTTCGAAAAAAAATACTAGTTTATATTTTGGGTTAAGAAAATATTTTTTGAAAATAATTGGTTGGTAAGCAAACAATATACTATTTCGGGAAAACATTAATCACTGAATGATAAAGTTAGGAAAATCAAATTATATTTTGACAACATTTTGAAGTATGAAGAATTGATAATCATGTCCAAGTGTTTGAGTACATTATTAATAAAAGAAAAATGATAACCCCACTTAAAAATCAGTGCAAAGTCGAATGAATATCGTGTGAAGATGTTTAAGACTTAATATATATAGTTAACTTATATAGTTTTCGACATACCTAGTAATGTATAGTTTTTTCAGTGAATAATGTTCAACTGGCTACACACCCTTCACTATTCTTCCGGAGACTTTGATAGTACAATCAATTTGCCAAAAAAAAAGTCTATCATACTAAACACGCATTATAAAGTCTTTTGTAAGAGACTTCATGACTTCCACACAGGTCACACCACTCGTGGTGTTTACGTTTGTTTCTAGACCTCCTTGATTAATTTATTATTATAAAATTAATTTTTTATTATAAAAAATTCAATTTCAATTGACGACTTAGATTATTTAATAAATGATAAATGAAGTCTTACAGAATTTTCTAGAATTGATTAATTTCTTGTAAAGAGTGGATTAAATAATTTCTCACTTCAAAATAAACTTGATTTTAAAAAAAATATCAATGTATGAAATTATTTTGCCATCTACTAACTAGCTAGTACAAAATTGAGATTATTCTAGATTATA